GGGTGAGGGGTGAGGGTTGTCTTGGATTTATCTCTGAAGCAGCCAGGGGGAGGGGAAGGATCTCCTGCATGTTTCTGAGAAGTAGCCAGGGGGAGGGGGCTGTATGTATGTATATGGGAATCAAACAGGGGGTGAGGGGTATATTTATGTATATGAGAATCAAACAGGGGTGAGGGCTGTATGTATGTATATGGGAATCAAACAGGGGGTGAGGGGTATATTTATGTATATGAGAATCAAACAGGGGTGAGGGCTGTATGTATGTATATGGGAATCAAACAGGGGGTGAGGGGTATATTTATGTATATGAGAATCAAACAGGGGTGAGGGCTGTATGCATGTATATGGGAATCAAACAGGGGGTGAGGGGTATATTTATGTATATGAGAATCAAACAGGGGTGAGGGCTGTATGCATGTATATGGGAATCAAACAGGGGGTGAGGGGTGTATGTATCTTTATGTAAAGCAGCCAGAACAGGGGTCAATTCATGCAGATGGGGGTGGGGGGGGGGTCAAGTCATGACTATGCCTATGTGATGATGCAGTGAGAGCTCATCAGCTTATAGTGATCGGTCTAGCTGATGCATGTGCTAGCAGCTAGTGCATGGAGGATGGAGGAAGGAATGTATGCATGGATATCACACTACTAGGGAGCGAGAGGGTAGGAAGGAAGAAACGAGTGGGGAAGGAAGGGATAGAGTGAGAGAAGGTGTTTGAATGTTTGCTCCTGGGAAAGGAGCAAGGAAAAAAAACAAAGGACAACTAATGCACACATATTTGCACGAATTCATGTGATTTTGCTGCGACAATTTCTGCACAAATTCCAATTTTCCACATTTTAATCACAGCCTCTCTAAAGCTTGTTACAAAGGCCAGATGATAATCACACAACCTTCTATAACCTCACATCACATTGAGCATGACCCACACAACTCGCACACGCACCACGCGCACGCGCACGCGCACGCGCGCCCGCACGCACGCACGCACGCACGCACGCACGCACGCACACACACACACACACACATATCAAAAGCATCATACATATTACATGTAGTAACATGCATATTGCATGTCCATTTCTTATAAGTCACTTCATACGGATTACGTGTAGACAGTACCAGCCATAATGCGGTCTCTGGCTCCAAGCCTTGTGAACACTCTATCCACAGGAGTCAGGATGCACATCTCTGCAGGCACATAGCATCCCTGCAAAAAATTAAATAAACATTAACCATATAAAAATAGAATAGCAGGTATTCCAACAACAGTTAGTAAATTGGCAATTTATAAACAACCATGACAGTAACGGTCATGGCAAATGCCGTGGCATGTCTGACGTGTGTAAATGTTTGTGGCAGCAGATTTTTGTTGTAAATTCATGGGCTTCAGCAAGCTTCATCGACTGCGAGTAATTCTGCTACCAACGTAGAAATCAATTTTTTGGCCGCAAGGCACGAGTCATAATCTAGCTCCAGGCACTGACAGTGAAGCTTGCATGGTCAACACAAAAGAGCAGTCACAACACACAAAAGGGACACATGCCAAGTTCAATTTGCGACAGTGCTTACCCATAAAGACCTGTAATTAATTTCTTTTTATAAACTCAAGTTGACATTTTAAGGCTGTAACATGGCCGGCTACCTGCAGTCTATGTCATACACTCAATATATATGTAAAGTAATGCACAGATGTAAGGTCAGCTAATTGGATTAAATGGATTAGGGACAACTTGACTGCGTGATGGGATTACAAAGTCCCAACAGATCAGTCATCCTCTTTAACCTTAATTTACATTATGTGAGGGCACAGAACAGATTGTATCAAGAGCGTATTAAGAAGGTTACGCTCTTGATTGTATATATACATTATTTACACAATAAATTTCGATTGCACATATATAAGGGTGATTTCCGTAGTGAGTAGTGACTTTGAGTAGTTTGCACCAAGCTAATCAAAAATGTGCAAAAAGCCAAACATATTACCAAACTCGTAAAATGTGAGATAACGAATTGACACGTAAGGGCCAACGGTACTGAGGACCTGAGATAGTATAGCATATTGCCATACTTGATCCAGAATACTGAAAGCAGTCACGAATACGTGCGGTTCTATTTTGAGGTTCAAGTGCCAATATCAGACAGAATGTCTACGCTCCACAGACGTTGTAACATTGCGTACGACGTGAACGCGTCATTATGTTGTAAATAGTTATAGAGCACGCGGCCGACTGTCAGATTTTATCACCTATAGCTGCTATCACGATTCTGGCTAACTGTAACCTCCATTGCTCATGCATGCATGTGATCAGGAGTGAATAATAATATATAATAATACTATATATTATTATTCACTCCTGATTGATCGTACTGGGATACCGCGATGTGTTCTATATTATAATTAATGCGAATTACAATATAAGCCATCATACATTCCTCAAATTAAAAGTGGCAAGTAGCTCATACATCACTGTAGGTGTCACAGTCGAGCAATTCTTGTATAAATCACGTGTTAGATTTTCGATGTGTGATTTAGTTGGATCAAGAATAACAAGAAACTTTTTTTTATTAAACATTATTTTTACAAATCAGTCAAATGAAAGGTCTGCAATACAAACTGTGGAATAAGGATTCGACTACGCTCTTCGCACCCATCCCCCCCTCCCTCCTCCTCCCTCAATCAATCACTCTCTCACGTCTGACAGACCGTATATGTGTGTGTATATATTATATATATATATATACACGTATATATATATATATCAGGAGTGTATACTAATAGATTCTATTTATAGATGTCTATTATTATACCCTCCTTGTATTATTTTTTTTTTTTTTTTTTTTTTTTTTTTTTTTTATTTTTAATTTTTTTTTGTTTTTTTGTTTTAATTTTTTTTTTTTTTTTTTTTTTTTTTTTTTTTTTTTTTTTTTTTTTTTGTTTTTTACTATATATATACACACACACACGCGCCACACGCACACGCACACGCACACACACACGCACACAATTTATATTAGGGTAATTGATGGAAGCATGGAAGCAGATAGCTCTAGAACTACCTTCGCTCTGCCACAGGGCCTGTTAGACTTAGACTTTCACACCTTTGCACGTTGTAACTAATGCTGGTGCAGTTATGCTGCTATAGTGCATATATATATATATACCAGCAGCAATGTGATACGGTGTTCAGGTTCCACACTGATTCTATTCTTATTTCCTTTTCTAGTCACTTCGAACTCTAGAAACGTGACAATCTAGGGCGTGTTCTTGAGGATGGCTATCATTGTGGCTTAATTCATCTAAATGATACCATCTGAACTTAATGGTTCAGTACGGTCACTACGGTGACATGTAAGTGTTACGCTGGGTGGCGTCATGCAAACTAACAGGTTAATGGTTTGTATCACAGCGTAGACACACATAGCAGACGACTAACAACGCGTTCCACAGCTGCTCTCATGCTCACCCTCACCCTCCACCCGCATCTCTTGTTATCACTCTCATGCCTGGCTATCTTTCAGTCGCTATAGTTATTCTCTCGATATTTCTTCCACTCTCTTCACCAGATTCGTTCTATCCGCCTGTCTTGTCTCTTTTTCTAGCTTACTTGCCACTTTATCGCCTGTATTCCTACTCTTTTTCCTTCTATGTGCAGGCTTATTGTAGGATCAGACGTAGTAAGAAACTAGTCAGTTATAATTCCGTTCCCTGAACTGGCTCGCTGTATCAATTTAAATGACTATGGAGCCGAACGGAGAGCGACAAATGAGCCTGCCAAAACTGCCCGATTACCTGCAATTCATCAATCAAACTGTCCACAAATCCTCAAACCTTGCATTCATCCTCATTCACGGGAGATATATAATCTCAGCAATTGAACAAAACAACCAAGACGCGAACTCTTTATAAACCCTGTGTGTTTAAAGCCTATTTTACTGGGAAACGAACCCGAATTTACACACTAGACCACGATCATTTGTTGTACTCTTGGTCCTAACAGAGCAACCTCTAGCCATTAAGCCATCGTAAATAATTGGTAATATCGGGCAATGCGGTGACACTACGCGTCAAATTTCGGATGGCTGACGACTGAAAATTTAATAACACGTACGCTAACTCTGTTCCTTAATGGGATACGGTCACGCCACGTGGCAACAACGGGGTACGCATGGAACATCCTAGTATATTAGCTGAATATATCACACAGTAGCTTCAGCTGACATGACGGAGTGTTGAGTTTTTCGGCTAGATGCCACTTGCAGCACTATTTTCCCCTATTACACCTGTGACAGTTCGGAATGCATTCGCCTCCGACGATGACACACAAGCAAGTTGTTCTACTGCTGCTCCTCCTGAACAATTCGACAACCCTAAGAGGTAAGTGCAGATAATTGAGCTGGGTGAGGAATGCAGGGAGGCCGCGCAATAAGTTATATATAGTAATATCAGGAGCGTATAATGACAAATACGTCTTGTCATTATACGCTCCTGTTAATATATATAGTAAGATATATATATAGGAGAATGCCGTCAGGTGGTGTTTCTCTTCTGGCATTAATTCTCCTCATTCTCATTCATTCACAACATTCTCATCATAGCTATATGATCATCACGTCACTACTATACGTCATACGTCTTTTAGCGCATTATTGCTGCAAAAAACGTGATTATCAATGATTGCAAATTGTTTCATTTTTATAAGTTGATTTTAAAATTAAAACACTATTGTGAAATTTGACTTTGAATACTAAACTAAGTCAAACTTAGTTTGTTAAAACCATACGGAAACGAGAAGTTGCAAATTTTACGAAAGCTAGCTACCCTGTCAAAGAATATAAATAAACCAATATAAACAATTTGGGATAATTATAGCGCTTTCCTGCTCGATCATTTTCAACTAGTCTTAAGCTGGGTTTACACTACCGATTTTGTGTTGTCAAATTGGCGAATTGGACGAACTTCCTAACTATACAACCGAAAATCGGTAGTGTAAACGCAAAAGTTGTGCGAGCAACTGGTCGATAGCAACTAGTTGGCGAAAATAGAACATGTTCTACATACATGCACGCATACATGAACATGTTCACGCATAGTTGGGAAGTGGGTCCAATTCGCCAATTTGACAACATAAAGTCGGTAGTGTAAACCCAGCTTGACAGCAAACCCAGTTATGACAGCAGCATGCAGACATGAGCGCGTTCTTGAAAACACCACATCTACCTTCGGCTGGCTGCATATACAGTAGCCATCGATATTTCTCAATAAATCACATTAGTGTTGTTCCACTTAATAACCGGCAAACTGCGTCAGCAAATACGACCGATCGAGGCCATGCATGACCATGCACGCACCAGCCAATCTTGCAGCTATTACCAGGAATCCCTATTATCTACTCCTGCTATTACTATACTAATGCGTATCTCCAGTCACTATCATCTCGCACGAGCCTGGTTTGTAGTGTGTAGGTTTCCTACAGCAATAAGGCTCGCACGCCACAAAAATATCAAAAAGTATCAAATATCAAAAGAAATGCGTGCTTAAAAGAAAGTTAATAAGCGGCATAAGCGCATAGTAATGAATAAAGCATTCATAAGCGTCAATTAGATTAATTACGTTTATTTGCAGACATTACTTGCATACAATTTATTAATTTAAAGTTGCTTTTATAAAGTCACAGATTTTTACAGCTCCCTTATGTACCGTGATTGTGATTTTTGTTTTGTTTCGGTTTAGTGCCCTAACAACAAGTCAACAGAAAAGTGAAACTTCCCTACTTGTAAATCGAACGGAGAATTCCAATACACGCCTTTCTCATTAAAACCGACTTCAACTGGCGCGGAAATTGAATTGTGTGCAGAAATGCGCGTACAGATATTTCGCGTTTTCAGGAAGCACGTGGGCATAATGCCCAGACTTCCTTGTCACGTGACTCTGACAAGTCTGTTGGAAGATGATGCGCTAATCAATAACAAAATCATACGGATTCTTGAATAATTTGAATGCAGTGTTGTTTTCCAGTAATCACATTTAATGAAATTTTGAGCATGCTAGCCTTTCTAAATATACTAAGCCTATATTAAGCCTATATCTACATGTACAGAAATCGATAGGCATTTGAATGCAGTGTTTTTTCTAGTAATCACATTTAATGAAATTTTGAGCATGCTAGACTTTCTAAATATGCTAAGCCTATATTAAGCCTATCTACA